TAATTTCTAGTTTCATTACATTGTTGTCAGAGAAGATGCTTGATACAATTTCAGTCTTCTTAAATTTCTTGAGACTTGTTTTGTGTGCTTACATGTGGTCTATCTTAGAAAGTGTTTCATTTGCACTTGCAAAGTATATTCTGCTGTTTCGGGGTAAAATGCTCTGAATAGATTGATTAAATCTGCTTGATCTAGTGTGTCATTTAAGGCTGCTGTCTCCTTGTCGATTTTCTGTCTGGAAGATCAACCCATTAAAGTCAATGGGGTGTGAAAATCCCAGACTATAACTGTATGTCTGTCGATCTCTCCCTTTATGTTCATCAAGATTTGCTTCACATGTTTATGTATTCCTATGTTGAGTGTGTAAATGTTTACTAGGGTTATACCTCTTCTTGAATTGTTCCCTTTAACCTTATGTAGTGTCCTTCTTCCACTCTTACTATAGCCTTGGTTTTGAAGTCTGTTTTGTCAGACATAAGTCCTGCTACTCCAGCTTATTTTCCCCTTTCCATTTGCGTAAAACTTCTTTTTATATCCCTTTACTTTTAGTCTGTATATGACTTTCAATCTGAGATGGGTCTCTTGGAGGCAGTATATATATATATATATATGTTTTCTTATTCATTCAGCTACCCTATATCTTTTAGTTGTAGCATTTACACCATTTACACTAAAGTGATTATTGATAGACACGTATTTAATGTCATTTTATTATTAGACTATTTTCTTCTTCTTTGTTTCTTTCTATATTTCTTCTCTTTAAAACAAGCCTTTTTATACTTGTAGCACTTGTTTGGTTTTAATAAATTCCTTTAGCTATTTCTTTTCTTAGAAGCACCTTATTTCTCCTTTGACTTTAAATGATTTTACCCAATCTTGCTTAATAAAGTAGATTGGATTGTAGGTTCTTGATTTTCATCACCTTTAATATTTCACAACACTCCCTTCTGGCCTGAAATGCTTGTGTTGAATAATCAGATGACAGTGTAATTGATGCTCCCTGTATGTAACTATCTGCTTTTCTTTTGCAGCTTTTAGGATTCTCTCTTTGTCTCTAAGCCTTGTCATTTTAATTACAATGTGTCTCCGTATAGGCCTCTTTGGGTCCAACCTGTTTAGGACTCCATGAGCTTCCTGGACTTGTGTGTCTTTTTCCTTCACCAGATTAGGGAAGTTTTCAGCCATCATCTTCTCAAATAGGTTTTGAATGAATATCCAATTAACCGGACATCAGTTTTTGAAAAGACCATCTTTTTCTCATTGTCAAATAGGCAATTTTCTTAAATCAGCCTGAGATTCACCTGCTCAAAATCCTTCAGTGGGACTTCCGGCCAAAATGGAGGCATAGGTGGAAACACTGTGCCTCCTCACGCAACCAAGTTTAAAGACAACAAAGTTTTAGTAACAAAAACACAACCAAAACACAGAAAATTGAACTATATGGAAGTCTGACAACAACAAACCATTCAGCCAGACCAGTAAGAGGGATGGAGTCAGCTGCGGAGTGGGGTTGGTCAGGACAGATCTGCCAGACTGACCCAGGCGCGCAGGCAGCCATTGGTAGATCCCAGGTGTGGGGTAGCAACGGGTGGACCCAGTGAAAGCCGAAAGTGGCAGGCTGACTGTGGTCACACATTCTCGAGCAGTTAAACCAGGCAAAAGAGCAAGCAGTGAGACAGACCGCACAGGCCCCAGCAGCAGGAAGCAGTAGAGAGGACCTCCATTGCCCCTCTTTGACCCGGTCCCCAACATACAGCGTCACAACCCAGCCACTGAGTTGCCCCACCCTGGTGAACATCTAGGGCTCTGCTCCTCATATGTAACAGGCAAGAACAGACAAAAACATTATGGCTCAAGAAGAACTCAAAGCCCCAGAGCCGATAACTCTAAGCAACCAAGACATAGCCAACCTATGAGATGCACGGTTCAAAACACTGGTGATCAGGATGCTCACAGAACTGGTAGATTTTAGTCACAAATTAGAGGAACAAATGAAGGCTAAACTAATTGAAATGAAGGGAAATGCACAGGCAACCAATAGTATTGGAAAGGAAACTGGGACTCAAATCAAGGGAGTGGACCAGAAGGAAGAAAAAATTACCAAACAGAAAAGGATGAAGAAACAGGAATTCAAAAAAATGAGGAGAGGCTTAGGAACCTCCAGGACATCTTTAAACGCTCCAACATCCAAATTAGAGGGGTACCATAAGGGGAAGAGGAACAGCAACAAGTGAAAAACTTATTTGAACAAATAATAAAAGAGAACTTCCCCAATCTGGCAAAGGAAATAGACTTCCAGGAAATCCAGGAAGCTCAGAGAGTCCCAAAGAAGTTGGACCCAAGAAGGAACACACCAAGGCACATCATAATTACATTAGCCAAGATTAAAATGAAGGAGAGAATCCTAGAAGCAGCAAGAGGTAAGGGGACAGTCACCTAAAAAGGAGTGCCCATCAGACTGTCAGCTGATTTCTCAAAAGAGACCTTACAGGCAAGAAGGGGCTGGAAAGAAGTATTCCAAGTCATGAAATCCAAAGACCTACAACCAAGATTGCTCTATATAGCAAAGCTTTTATTTAGAATGGAAGGACAGATAAAGTGCTTCCCAGATAAGGTCAAGTTCAAGGAGTTCATCATCACCAAGCCCTTATTATATGAAATGTTAGAGGGACTTATCTAAGAAAAAGAACATAAAAAAGGTGAACAGTGAAAGGACAGCAAACTCACAGTTATTAACAACCACACCTAAAACAAAAGCAAACTAAGAGGACAGCTAGATCAGGAGTGAAACCATAGAAATGGAGATCACATGGAGGGTTAGCAACAGGGGAGTGGGAGGAGGAGAAGGGAGGAGAAGGTACAGAGAATAAGTAGCATAGACAGTAGGTAGAAAATAGACAGGGGGAGGGCAAGAATAGTATGGGAAATGTATAATCTAAAGAACTTGAGACACATGGACATGAACTAAAGGGGGGGAATGGTGGGGGAGGTGGTGTGCAGGGTGGAGGGGAATGAAAGGGGGGAATAGGACAACTGTAATGGCATAATCAATAAAATATATATTTTTAAAAATCCTTCAGTGGTTTTCCATTGCACTTGGAATGAATGAATATACACTTATTACTATGGTTCCCTGGCTGGCATCTGCTTGTTTCTCTGCTTCTATCTCAGTGTCTTCTTTTTCTCCTTTCCACCATGGACACTCTGGCCTCCTTACTGTTCCTTGGTCATCAAGTACGTTATTTTCTCAGGCCCCTGCTTGTGGGGTTTCTTCTTCCCAGAGCGCGCTTATGCCATATCTCAGCCTGAATCATTCTTCCTGCTACTCAGATGTCTACTGAAATGTCCTTGGGAAGTACCACTACACATTCCTTATAACATTAAGGATTAATACTATGTAAAAGTCCTTTGAAAGTGTATGATATTACTAATGCCCTTTCTCCCCTATGATACTGTGATTCCCTCAGGAAAAGTATTGTGTCCTGTTTTCCTTTCATAGATCTTATTTGCAACATAATACATTAGAACACAAATAAGGCCCCAAGTATAAAGCATATGATAATTCATTATTTTCCCTATTTTGACTATATTTGCATCAGATAATTCAGATCCTGATATAAATATTTAATAATTTGATGAGCTGTGGTGGAACATCAACTCTTTGTACTTTTTAAAAAGAGAGTAGTATACAGCATTATAGTTGGAAACTTATAAACTGGCTTTAACTGTTTTACATGGAAACAAAGCATAGGCTAAGTAAGCCCAAATCAATTTTATCTAAAGAATCTACACATTTTTCAGTGACGTTATATATCTCATGTAGCAGTAATATTGATTACATTTAAGTTTTTAAACTTACATTTTTTTTTCTAAGCATTCTACAGTCAATGATCCTCATTTACCTGGTTCCGATTATTTGGAGCTATTTTGGAGGTCTATGTGCATATGTAAATTTGGATTTGGAGGCAAGAGCTAGACCAAGCTTTCATTTATCTGTTCATTCTTTATCCAAGGCATTTAGTTCCCTCATTGATTACATTTGTTTTTCTTTTCCTAAAGCCTTAAGCTATTGTCTGACATACATAATTCTTTTATTAATTGTAGAATGCCATAAACTAACAGAGCAGAAAGAGACTTTTAAGATTACCTTGTCTAGCAATAAAATACATTAGTGGGTCAAATGACAAAATTGAAATACAATTGATAGGCTAAAGCACTGTCAATGACACATTTCTTGAAGTCGATAACCGTGCTATGTAAGAGAATATCCTTGTTCTTAGAAAAACACGCTGGAATATTTAGGAATCAGTGTCATAGTGATGATTTTACTTCCAAATGGTTCAGGAAAACCCTTGTGCGTGTGCATGCACATGTACAGACAGAGAGAGCAAGCATGTGTGGGGGCCTACAACCCAGGCATGGCCCTGACTGGGAATTGAACCTCAACCCTTTGGTTTGCAGGCTGGTGCTCAATCCACTGAGCCACACCAGCCAGTGCAAATGGGGCAAAGTTTGAACAACAGGTGGATCTGATAATGTGTGTTTTAATGTCCTTCATATTATTCCTGTAGCTTTTTTATAAATGTGAAATTATTTCCACAAAAATATTTTTTAATTGTCTCAGCCCTTTCAGGAAAACCCTTCAGTCCTCATGACAGAGTAACTTTCCCTCGTCACCCTGAGAGTCAGAGACAGAACTGACCCCTGCTCCTGAGTGCTCTGTGGCACTGGGCTGCCTCCTCCTCGCTCACAGTCAATGAGTTCTAACCCAGCACAGGGGCCGCAATCCCACTGCATGCTGACTTAGGACACAGCCATACTTGCGTATTCATGATGTAGCTTTGTGTTTTTTTTAAAAATATGTTCGCCATTGCTGGTCAGTCTTACAGCCTTCAGTTCCGCTATTACATGGACATCTTGTTATTACATATGCTATCCATTAAAACATGGCATCTCTACATGGTAAGTTTTAACAAACTTTTTTTTCTGTTTTTTGATAGCTACTGCTTCTTGGGACACATTTCTTATGCTATGGAATCTCAGGCCACAAACTAGAGCTTTCAGATACGTGGGTCACAAGGATGTTGTAACCAGCGTGCAGTTTTCTCCACTTGGAAACTTACTGGCATCTGCTTCACGAGACAGAACTGTTAGACTCTGGATTCCTGATAAGTAAGAAACAAATGCCTGATATGCTCTGGATTTAGGAAGGTGGAGAAAATGGGAGTCTGGCTGCTCCTGAACATCTCAGGAAGACCCAGACGCCCCAGTTACCTGAACTCCACTTAGTCTGAGTCACTCAACAGGTGTCGAGTCAACTATTTTAAAATACTTTGTTCTCATCTGTAACTCATCATTATGTCTTTTATGGGAGAGAGACTAGTTTCAAGTTTAAAAGGGAAAGCATTTTCTAAAATCCTTAATTCTGGGACTTTAGGACCAGCAACACACAGCTTCAGGCACCCATTTCTAATTCAAGAAAACTTCAGTGAACAAACTGTGCAGGGGTGCCTGAGCTAAAAGCACACTGCATCATTAACCTGCACCGGCTAATCTAAATACAGCAATTATTGCTTGCGTGGGTGTCTCTTGTTTCTCTTTTTAAATCATACAGTAGGGCCAGGGCAATAGTGGATCATGGCAATGGGAAGGAAACTCATGTATCAAGTTCTCTATTGCTGTGTAACAATCTTTGAAACAGAGTAACTTAATACAGCAACTATCATTTCTCCAAATTTTGTGGGTTGTTTGGCTGATTCTTCTGCCCCATTTGCTATTGGCTATCGCTTATACAGCTTCATTAAGCTGACAGCAGGGCTGCTGGGTCTAAAACCTCATTCATATGCTAAAGGCTTTGGTGCTGGCTGTCAGCTGGGGCAACTTGGTACTGCATGTGCCATCTCTTCAGCAGGACAGGGACTTCCATACAGCATGGCAGCGGGTTCTGGGATAGTAAAAACAGAGGCTGCTGGACCTTTTAAGGGCCAGGCCTGAAACTTGCACAGTGTCGCTTCTGCTCCCGTTCTGCGAGTGAAAGTAATTCACACCAGCAGCCCAGATTCAAGGGAGGAAATATTGGCAGATTCCACCTCCCGGGGGAAGGAGTGGCATGGGTGTACAGAGATGAGAGGAACTGTGGGCAGTTAGATTTTCTGACAGACAGCTCAGCAGGTGACTGGAAGGCTAAGAAAAGAATAGTGGAGGCAGGTCTGGCAGGGATTGTATTATGGGGGCCAGTCAAGAGGATTTGGGCAGAAAGGACAGGTCAACATGTCAGGGGTGGGGCCTACATTAGGGTGAGGTAAGGAACTAGGTGCCAGTTAAACACTGACATGACAAACACTAGGCACTCCTATCCTGTTCTTTTTCCTCTGTGTGTGTTTGTTTTTACACATGCTTCCTGTTAAGACCGGATCCAGTGGGTAGGCCAGCCACCAGCGCAGAGGAAGGCCCTTTAGCAGGAAGGCCAGCAGGACAGCCTGCTGGAGTGTGCGGTGGAGGACTGAAGAGCAGGGCAGATTTTGATGATACTGACTGTCTCTTGGCTTCCTGGTGATAGCAGACACCAACACTTTTCTTTGTTTTCTCTGAGCTGTAGGCCAGAATGCAGGCCACACTCGACTCTGACCTCTGCTCAGAACTTTCCCTTGAAACCTCACTGACTGAACTAGTCTCTGAATGCTCCCTCCTATTTTTTTAAATACTGATTTTAGTTATTCTTGGTGTAATATCATACATCAAGTGATGGGTGATGGAGATTTATGGCAGTCACCTTAGCCTTCTCTGGGCCACTGAAAGGGTAAGCTAGGATGGATCTAGACACCTTTAAGTATTACCTCTTCCCAGTAGAATTCAATCAAATGCATTGAGTTCATTTTCTATGCCTGACATCATGCTAGATTTTGGTCTTATAGCAATAAATAAATCATCATCACTGTCCTCAAAAAAGTTACTCTTTAACAGGAGGGAAACAAGTTAATTTTTTTAAGCACTGCATAGTAAAATAAGCAAAATAGACGTAGTAGACAGGGAGGTCTGGCTTGTCTAGGCTAGGGAAGTAGTTCGGACTGAGAAAGTCAGCATAAAGCCAGAGAGGTGTCTGAAGCCCCGTGACTGTCCTCAGAGTACAAAGTTCAGTGACGTGGCAGGACGCCCTGCGGCAGCGTGAGTTTATTGTGCCATCTTTTGGAGGACGTCCAGTGACATATGTACACAGGGCTCTACGTGCTTCAGTTACACTTCTAATAAGGCATTAGCACAGTATGTAGGTGACTGGAGGGGGATAAAAGATTAGAGCTGGGAGACCAGCTAAGAGGCTTTTGCAGTAATCTAGGTGAAGGATATTGAGGGTGTATCTACCTAAATGCAAGTGTAGCTGGGTTGAAAAGAAGTGATAGCCATATCACCATCACTCTGTAGGTGTAATGACCTACTGAGAGTGGGAAGAGAGGCAGGAGGAGGGCTGAGTGTGACTTCCAGACTTCTGCAAATTCTGTTGTCAAATCTTTTTTCAAACAGTTATAGTGATTTTCCTCCTAAGATATCACCTGTATAGATATGACTTTCTGAGTGGAAAAATTGCTAAGCATGGCTGTAATCTAAGGAGAGTGCCTTGGGAACTTGGAAACGCCGACCCAAAGTAGTCTTTCCCAAGTGTCACCTTTTAACTCCAGCTGTATCTGCTAGCCTGCCCCTAATTATTTAACACACTTTCTACAGCTTCTCTCTAAATGCCACATATTATTTTCCCCAGCTATTTTTTCTATTCTCTTTCTCCCAAGAAAACAGTTCATCTGAAATTTCAAGGTATTGAGAACTAAACTACTATGTTGTTACCATTTATTCTTTGTTTTGCTTGTGAGTGTAAGATTGGGCCCAGTGAGCAAAGCCTTACTGTACCCAGGGGGTCTCAGTTCTCATTACTCGTAGGTGGAAATAGGAAAGTCAAGATCACCTAGAGACATTCTGTATAGAGGCAAATGGCTCAGGGGACATTTCCTCCTTCCAGACCCAGACTTCCCATCCGTACAACTTGCATGTGACCCCAGTTTGAAAATATTGCCTTGGAACTATTCATTTAATCAATCTTAGCTTTTCTAAGTTGCAGGTTCTTTAAACTATATATTGCTATTTCTAGCAGTGCAACAGGAACTCAAAGTGCGTAGTAGAGATGTGTTTGAAATATTATTTCCCTAGCTTCCAAATTAGAACATAAACAGCAAACTCATTTCAGGCTGGGAACTACCAGGGTCTCATGAGGTATCACTTGTGACTTTGACAAAACCAGCTGGAAGCAAAATTGATGAAGAGTACAATACAACACAATGTTTTCACACACTTTTGTTAGTTTTACAAGAGTTAAGCTGTTTTTTAATTCTTTTTAAAAAGATTTTATTTATTGTTTTTAAAGAGGGAAAGTGACAGAGAGGAAGAGAAACATCAATGTATGGTTGCCTCTCACACACCCCCTACTGGTGACCTGGCCCACGACCTAGGCAGGCATGTGCCTTGAGTAGGAATTGAACCAATGACCCTTAGGTTCGCAGGCCAGCACTCAATCTACTGAGCTACACTAGCCAGGGCAAGTTAAGCTGTTCTTTATGTTTCAGAGTCTGTATGCTGACTAGCTATTCAATCAAATATTGTAAATATTACACTGTTTTTTTCCAGGAAAGGAAAATCCTCTGAATTTAAAGCTCATACAGCTCCAGTTCGAAGTGTGGACTTTTCAGCCGATGGCCAGTTTCTAGCTACAGCTTCCGAAGACAAATCCATCAAAATATGGAACATGTATCGCCAGCGCTTTTTATATTCCTTGTACCGACATACACACTGGGTACGCTGTGCCAAGTAAGTGCAAAAAGTTTCATAATAAGAATTCTACATTTTCCCCCTGCCATAGTCTATTTGTCCTCCAACTCCCAGAAAAGAAGTTCGTTCCTCTTTTCCTTGCTTTGCTTTGCTTGCTTGCTTGCTTTCCTTCTTTCTTTCATTCAGCAAACATTTATTGTGTACCTGGGAACACAACGGTGATGAGAACAATGGTAAACAAAATAGTTACCCCCCCCCCCCCCCGCTCTTGTGAAGCTTATATTCTAGAGAGGGGAGTAAGGCAGTAAACAAATAGGAAAATGGACATGGTAGGTCAGAGGGTAGTAAGTTTTCAGGGGAAAAACAGCTGGATTAGAAGGGGAGCTGCAGTTTTAAAGTTGGTTAAGCAAGCTTCACAAAGAGGGGTGGTCTTGGAGCAGAGGCCTAACGGGAAGGAGTGAGGCTTGAAGGTACTTGGGAAGGGAGTTTCCTAGAGGAAGCAAGTGTGAAAGCCCTGAGGCTGGAGCCTGGCGGTGATCAAGGAAAGTAAAGAGGCTGGTGTGGGGCCGAGCTCAGGGAGGGAAGGCAGGGCACCCACAGGGAGGTCAGGCCAGCTCAGGAGGAGCTCTGATGTACACCGTGGGTGAGAGGAGGTGCGACTGGACCACGTGCCTTTTCTGACTCACACTCTAATGGGATCACTTGAGTGCTGCATGAAGACGAGACTGTCACAAGTCAGGGTGAAGAAGCAGGGAGGTGTTGGGGGTCTGCTGCAGGAGTTCCCATCCTGGCTTGGACCACCCCAGGTGGTGGCACTGGAGATTTTGAGAAGTGGCTGGATTCTAGATGTAGTCGTTTCAAGTTACACCTGACAGTACTTGCTGTCACATTGGGTGTGACAGCGAGGAACCAACAATGACGCCAGAACGCTGGTAACATTCTGCTGGGAGAAGTGCTGCTTCGTAGGTGTTAACAACTGTCAGCTAACAGCCATGGCACCCTCTTTATTCCCAAGACACGCTGCTAACATGCCTCCAGTGCGTATCTCATTCCTCCTCAGAACTGCCCTGGCAGGGCAGTTGTTTTGTTTTCTCCACTGTGCAGATCAGGAGACTGAGACTCAAAGAGCTGGAGTTAAACTTGTGTAGATGAAGTAACAGAACCAGGGAGAAATACTTGTTCTCCTCTCAAGGCCGTCACTTGGCTGACTGTTTGATAAGCTTAGAGTGGGAAGGGAAAGGACTAGATCCAGGGACTGCAGCACTCTCAGGTCTCTCACTAGGCCTCTCTACATGCTGGCTCCATTCCTTCAGACACTCTGGTACTGAGGTCACTATCAGCTTCATGCCGAAGTCCTCCCAGCTTTGTGATCAGACTTAGCTTATTCTAGCTACAGTTAGAAAACAATGTACTAGGGGATGACTCTCAACTCAGACCCTATGCTCATCTCTTTGCCAGGCAGTGAGATGCTGTGGTTGTCTCAGTTCAACCAGACACCTGACTGAGACCAGTTAACCTGGCCAGGGAGGCGGGGTCGTTACCAATCACAGGTTCTGGTGGTGGAGGGAGAGGACGGTTCTCACTAGAAGTGGGCTGGTACAGACATGGTAACTGGGCAAAAACTAAACCGGATCCCTGTAGTCTCTTTCTTGGCTTTGCGCCTCTGTCTGAAACGACATGTGAGGGGACTGCAGCTGAGATGGGGTAGAATGGGAGTGTGAGCCCAGCTCTGCCTGTCTTGCCTTATAACCCACACTCTTAACACTTGTTATGCTCTCTCTGTGGGGCATTATTGCTTAGGGGCTGTTGATTATAATCTATGGTAATGAGTCTGAGAAAAATAAAAAAGGTAAACAGAAAGCCATACTTTTAGACAGAAGGTTTTTTTTCTTCTAAAGATTTCAGCCACTTTTGGTTTTGGTTATCTCATTACTTTTTCTACATATGCCACATAGCAGTGGGGTAAAGAGCACGGACCTGGAACCTAAATGTGTAGGTAAAAATCCCAGTCCCACTGCTTGACCATCTGTGTGATCTTTGGAAGAGTTACCTACATTTTCAGTATTTCAGTTTTCTTACCTCTAAAATTAGAATGATAATAGTAGTTACCTGCCACATAGGTTGTCATGGTAGTTAATTAAATGAATAAATATATAAAGAGCATGTACATAGTAATCACTAGATAAATCCTAGCCATCCTCTTCCTCATCATCTTTGGACATATTTTTATTTATTTTTGAAGACACTTTGTTACTTGAGTTGCTAGTTTGTTTTCCACCTAAGGAGGTCCCAAGGGGCTGGTCAGATCAGCTATTTGTTTTATAATAATAAGTATGTTGTTATTTATGTATCAGTAGGAAGAAGAGGAGGCAGAGCTCTATCATCTAGCAGATCAGGCCCTGAGAACAGATGGGCGGCTAGGCCATGTACTAGGAAGAGTTATTTAATTCCCACTGTGTGTCAGTTACAAATATGTTTGGAAAACAGACTGATTTTTATTATCTTCATCAGAGAGGTCAACATAAACAGAAACATTGCATGCTGGTTTAACTAATGAAGACAGAATGTTTCCTGAACACTCTGACTAATAATACAAAAATAGCTGCTATTTATCCAATTTGTCTTCCATGCCTCTGTACCCTTCCAGGAAGAATTTAAGGTGGTTTATAATTGTCATCCCTGTGTATATATCAGTCTCACCTAGAGCCATGTCACCTTGGTTAGCACAACCTGGGCATATGTCTAACCTGTTTCCTGCAGCTGTGGTGTTAATGGAATGATACTGACTGGCATGTTTTCATTTTTTAACAAAAAGGAATCCTATCAGGTTGTTCAGATAAGAGAAAATTTTTCCTGGTGTAAATTTTAGAAGGCACTTTAGTCCTTGCTTTTGTATTGAATCATCTGTGTATCATATAAATGTAAAGAAGAGATAACAATAAAGACAGAAGAATTTATGAAAGGCTGAAAGGTCACCAAGTGAAGTCAAATTTTGGTCTTCTAAGTGTTCCTTCAGTAAGCACATTCCCTCTTTACCCCGTATCTGTGTTAGGTGAATGTAATGTGGAGGGGGGCGCCACCCGCAGGGCCCCACCAACCACCACGGATGAGAATAAGTCTACCAAGACATGATCTGCTTGGGGACGAAAGGTGGCCGATCTCTCAAAGGAGAAGGGCCAGGAGGCTTTTCCCCAGTGGGCTTTTGTTGGGTTCAGTTTGCACAGGAATACAGGTAAAGTTCATCAATCTTGTCAGGCAGTAAGGATCAAACAATAGATAACACACAAAGAACTATGAGGGCTTATTCTGAGTCAGGATCAGTTAGCTAAAGAGCTATAAAACTTTAGGAAAAAAAAACTCATTTTGTGCTTGGACACTTATCAGAAAATTGAGGACATTCTTAGCAAAGAAGGTTTCACAGGATGTTTTGTATTCTGTTTTAGGCCTGATTACCCCAGGGAACCTGCCCTTTCCAGCACAAGGCCACACCCACCTCCTGCATTGTTTCAGGCTTAACTCAGGCAGGGGAAGTACTGCGGCCAAGAGATTAGTAGACTTCTTGCAGACAGAATGTCAGAGCTGAAGGGTGAGGGTCCATCACCTCTTTTTTCTATAGCCCCCCAAGTCCTTCCCTGAGGGCCCTTTCATGACCGTGCCTGTCTTAGGTCGTTCCTCCTTTGAGGAATCTTACCCGTCATTGGTTAACCAGTCATCCATCCAGGGCCAAGCAGGGTGAAGTAATGGGGGCAGAGGTGGGAAGATAAGCTTTGTTTGGATCCTTGGTGTCTTATGGTCCCAAGTTCTCTCACTCAGCCTTAGCCATGGGGGGTTTACAGCTTCTGAAACCAGGCAGGGCAGTTCCCAACAGGTGAAGAACTAAAAGTATTAGCCTCAAAGAGCTTTTATGGTTCAAAGGGAAAAAAATCAAATAATTATAAATTGATGTGTCCTATGAGAAAATGATACACAAAACAATAAGGGAGTGTTCGAGTGGAACAGTGAGCTATCTGTGTGAGGAAACGTCAAGGAAGACACTACAGGCCTGGAACTGGGCAAAGGGAAGGGGAAGAGGTGGGAAACCATTCCATGGAGCAAATCAGCAGGAGTAGGCATGGTAGGCTGTGCTCTGGAAACATTTATTATTTAGCTGTGGTAAATAATACCTTTACACAGGAGGTAAAGTGGGACAAGGTCGGGGAGAAGGCAGGGAAGGCTCAGGGTCACCAGGTGATGTGAAAAGATTTTAGACTTCATCCTACGTGTAATACGAAGACACTGGAAGGCTTGGAATTGGAAAGACACATGATAATTTCTGAGCTCTTCTTTTTAACTGCATGACTCTGCAGGTAGAGGGTTGGCATGAGAAAATCCTTGCCAAGGTCTGCATGCCTCCCTGCATCACCTCATTACCACTGGGCAAGATGGTTGATGGCTCTGTGCCTTTGTGGAAAGTGAGGCTTTTCCAAGTGGACTGTTGTGAGGATGACTGTGTTTGGGACAGAGTGATGCAGGAAGACTACCTGCCGTTTTTTCACCTGGGCACCATTAGGGAGAAGCTCAGGAAAGGTCAGGAGCCACTGTGAATGTTGTTCTCCCTATCAATTCACAAGACGAAAGCGATGGCGGGACTCTGCACATCCGTCTGCCTAGCACCCATTCCCCATTGTATGGCAGTGGTGCCCAAGCTTTCCCTGATGAACCAGCCCACCCCCTTCCACGTGTTGTACGTGCGCTGGGGTGGCCCTGTTTCCAGTTCCAGCAGCAGGCATTCGGCTCAGGCTTGCCATCAGGAACAGCGCATCTCCTTTTCTAGGAGTTAGTGAGTCTTGTTGGAACCGCAGTACTTTCCTCTGGGATTGCTCCCCTTAGGCTTATTTAGGCCTCTTAGCTGCTGAGGGACACCATGGAAGGCAAAGAACTGACCTGAGAATGATGCTGATTTGAAGGAGAGCAGAGCTGTGAGGTAACCACAGAATGAACTGCTGTCTAATTACATGGCATAGTTTCTGGATACCGCTATACCAGCAATTATTAGCACA